GGAAGGGAAGGGAAGGGAAGGGAAGGGAAGGGAAGGGAAGGGAAGGGAAATTATTGTTTGTATCTCCCCAGACTTTGATAGTTGGTGTTCTCCTCTCCCCAGCAATTCTCCCCTGGGGGGGTGACCTGACTTCCATGCACTTTGTATCCCGGTATTCCCATATTTCCCTGCTTCCCTTTCCTCCCCCAAGCCTTGAACTAGTTATTTTCTCAACCCCTCCTGCTCAAAGAGCCTGGTGAATATTCAGAAACTTTGGCATTTCCCAACAAATCCTCCCAGCTTCCAGCGGCTCCTTTTCCCAGCCCCTGAGGATTTCTTTCCTTACCCTTGGAATTCTTATCCCCCAGAAAACGACCCCTCCTAATCCCTGCCCTTTTTCACACTCCTCAACTTCCCTCTGCCCGCCCTGAGGTTTTTCCCACTGTTTTATTCCCTCTTCCCCCTCCCTCACCCAGACAACGAGGAAACCCAGAGAATCCCAGGTTTTACTGCAAAAATTTGCAGATTAAAGCTGCTTTTCCATGTTTTTTTTAGGGCAGGCTGTCGGAATGGGAAGCAATCCTTGTGGAGAAAAGAGGTATTTTAGCAAACATCGTGTTTTCTTGGTTGTTTTTTTCCTTTTACATCTTCTCTCTTTTATCTGAAAAACATGTGAACAGGGTTCTGTGTGCTCCAAAGATTCTGTTCTTTCTCCAAAGATTAAGAATATTCCTCGATTAAATAAGATTTTTACCCCTGATTTAGTTTCTTTTCTCTCTTCCATGCAATAAACACAAAGTTGGTTTGGAGGGGAAAAAAAAAAAAAAAGGAAGGAAATGGTCAAATGACAAATACATTTCTTTATTGATTTAGCCATGAAAAAATGATTCCCTTTTTCTCCCCTCTCCCTTAATTTTGTATTCCCATTTATATCCCGTGTCAGAAAGAATTCCCAGGTATTCCTTGCTTGGATTCCAGTTTCTTCAGCTTCCTGAGTGTGTTGAAGCTCCTCAGGGATCACCCTCTTCCCAGGAGGAAACAGGACAAACCAACCAAAGGAATATTTATCCAAATATCTTCAGGGACAGCACTTTTTGTGGCTCTGAGATGGGAATTTGGGCTGAGAAACGAGGAGACATTCCAGTCCTTGGAATTCCAAGGGAATCTCGGTGCTTATCTCGGCCTAGAAAATAAAGTTATTTTGAAGCATTAGAGGAAAAAAGAAGGAACCCCCATCCCAGCAGGAATCAGCCTCGAGCAACCCCTTGGATCTGAGCTTGGCAGAATTGTCCCAGTCATTCCCAACCCTCCAATCTTTTCTCAGGGATGGATAAAACATGGGAAGCAGTGACAGGAGAGGCATTGCCAGGCGGGAATCCAGGGGGAAGGCTCAGCTCTCCAGGAAAACATCCCAGTTCTTGAGCTACTGGAGGGCTGTTCCCACTTTTCTTTGTCTGTTTTTAGTCTCCCAACAGCAACGTTGGAGCTCAGGGATTTCTCTTGGATAACACCTGGATTTCAGGCAGGATTTGATTCCTAAACCACAAGGATCTGGTGCAGCCTGAGATCCTCATGAGTTCCTAATCCAGAAGGATTTGATTTGAAATCCTCATCAGTTCCTAATCCATAAAGATTTGATGCAATCTGAGATTTTGGTCAGTTCTTAAACCACAAGGATTTGATTCAATCTGAGATCCTCATGAGCTCCTAAACCAGAAGGATCTGGTGCAATTTGAGACCCCCAAGGCATTCAGGACATCCCCATATGGATTGGAAAAGCTTTGTCCTTCTCACTCCATCCACATCCCTTCCTGGATGAGGTGAATCACTGGGAATTCTCCATCCAACTGGACCCATTTTAGGGCTGGACCCAGGTGTAAACACCTCCTTAGAGGCACCTCAGACCTTCCAGAGCTGAGAAAAAAACATCAACAAGGTTTTGTTTGTTGCTGATTGCTGGGGATTTGACTTTTCCAGTTTTTTCTGTAAAGATTAGGAATATTCCCTGCATACATGAGATTTATATAGTTGGTTTAGTCTTGGTCTAAAGAGGGAGACTTTGTCAGCCAGTGAAACACTGATGGGACATTCTGGGATTTCATCCACAGCCACGTGAGATGAAGCCAAAGGTTTCAATTCGTTTCCCGCACCTCCTGGTACCACCTGGAGATGTCCTGGATGGAAAAATTGGTTTTCCATGGGCTCTTTATCCCATCCATGGGTATGTAAAACACCTGGAGCATCCCAAGAACACCATGAACCTGCCTGTGGGACAGGGAATGGGGCCTCTGTGCACCCCTTGTCCCTGCAGCTGGAGCTGATGGGTTTAAAGTTAAATATGGTGGGTTTGTAACACAAGGGTTTTTTGTCTTAAAGAATTTAACACAAATTAAATTCATGGGATTTTCCCTTGGCAGTGGGTTTGGATTAAGGGTTGAAAATATCCCTAAACAACGTGGAAAGCTCATGCTGGTTTTGGGATTTCCTTCCATGGCTGTGGGATTGCCCAGTCCAGACCTTTGGAACAAAAAAATGGGAACCAGGGTTGGAAAACCCAAAGTTCAAAGGTAAATGTCTTTTTAAGAAAGCAAAATGGATCATAATAAGGAGGAAAAAAAAAAAAAAAAAAAAGATAAAATACCCCAAAAAACCCAAGTTATCTTTTTTTAGCTTCTTTAGGTTTTGGTTCAATTATATCTCGGAACAAAAGTGCCCAAAAACCTGGATGTGATTCCGACTGAACTCCCTCCCTGAGGGGAGAGGGAACATGATTCCAAGTCCCCCCACAACAGACAGCTCTGGGAAAAGTCAGCTCCAAAACCAAAACCGAGCTGGGATCAGCCGGAAAAACAATTCCAGACAGAGGGAAAAGAATCAAACCCAGCAGAGCAAACCCAAACCAAGCCGGATAAACAAAGGCCCTGCTTTTCCCAGGATCAGCAGATCCTTTCCTGAAGGGATAGAGTTGGTCACTTCCTTCCCCAGGAGTGGGATGGAGAGTTCCAGCTTTTCCAGGAAAGCGGGAATGAGGGATGAGAAGGAAACGCCGGCGGCAAAGTTCCCTCAGGGCTGCTGCAGGTTGGACACCACGACTGCCCAAAGCCGGGAAAAGTGCCGGAAAAAGTCTTTTCCTGGGAAATAAATCCCTTTGGCACGAGGGGTTGGGATGCACATTTATGGGAGGCCGCTAATTATCCTCCTGGAAAAGGTTTTGTTGTTCCTTCTTATCTCTTTTTCCTTCTGTTTTTTCCCCGCTCAGCTCAGTTCCCTCTCCTCGGTTTTTTAGAAGTCCCAGGATCCCAAAATACCCCAAATCCAGGGATTTTTAAGTCAACATGAAAAAATACCCGTCCTTTGAGGATTGCAATTAAATCCAATAAAATGTTCTGTGGGAATCAGAGGGAAGACTCACCTGGAATTCAGTTTGCCATGATGTGTTTCACAAAAGCTGGGGAAAAAAAAAAGGAAGAGTCGTCTCTATTTTAAATAAAATCCAATTTTATATAATTTTGAATTTCAAAAGAAAAGAAATAGAGGTTTTGATGTAATAATTCGCTCGTTCTGTGATTTTCGTTAATTTATTAATTCATGGGATTTGTAAATAGAAGGAGAGCATTGACCCAAATATTTATTAAATGTGTTAATTTTATTATTGTGAACATGACAGATCAATTAAATCCCCAGGATGATACAATGGTCACTGGTTATCCTTAAAATGAAATAAAATAAAATTAAATTAAATAATAAAAGTAAATAATAAAATAAAATGAAATAATAAAAATTAAAAAATAAAATAAAATAAAAATAAAAAAAAAATAAAATAAAAAATAAAATAAAAAATAAAAAATAAAAAACATAAAATAAAATATAAAATAAAATAAAATAGAAAATAAAATAAAATAAAAACTAAAATAAAACAATAAAAAAAAGGAAAGGAAGGAAGGAAGAAAGTGATAAAGGAAGGAAGGAAGGGATTAAATGAGTTCCAGAAAAGTAAAGGAGAAATTCGAAAGTGATTTCAGGTGGAATCACAAAAAATAAAATTAAGTAAAATAAAAAAAAAAATTAAAAAATGAAATTAAGGAACTAAAATAAAATAAATAATGAAATGAAATGAAATGAAATGAAATTAAATTAAATTAAATTGAATTAAATTGAATTAAATTAATTAATTAATGAAATAAAATAAAATAAAAGTAAAATAAAACTAAACTAAAATAAAGTGGATTAAAATAAAGTAAAATAAAATAAAATAAACATAGATTAAAGTAAAATAATATTTACAAAAAATCGAATTAACCTTCAATAAATAGAATTTACCAGATGAATTAGAGACTCTGAATGTGTCTAAAATTTGGGAAAGCACATGTCCTGCTTCAGGTTTTCCATGGATTTGAACTTTTTCAGGATAAGTTTAGTAAAGTCTTCAGACCCACCTTCGTAGTTGATGCAACCGTTGGCATCTTCCTGCCCAGCCATGAGTTTATCGACCTCCTCCTCCGTCAGCCTCTCACCTGCACGGAAAACAAAACCCGGGAATGTTAGATGGGAATTCAGAGATTCCCAAAGGACACGGGAGAGAGAGAGAAGACATTATTTGGGAATTCTGAGATTCCCAGAGAACACAGGAGAGAGAGAGAGAAAACGTTTGGGAATTCAGAGATTCCCAAAGAACACAGGAGAGAGAGAGAGAGAGAAAACATTGTTTGGGAATTCCGAGATTCCCAAAAAACACGAGAGAGAGAAAACATTGTTTGGGAATTCTGAGATTCTCAGAGAACACAGGAGAGAGAGAGAGAAAACGTTGTTTGGGAATTCAGAGATTCCCAAAGACAATGAGAGAGAGAGAGAGAAAACGTTGTTTGGGAATTCCGAGATTCCCAAAAAACACGAGAGAGAGAAAACATTATTTGGGAATTCAGAGATTCCCAAAGAACACGGGAGAGAGAGAGAAAACATTGTTTGGGAATTCAGAGATTCCCAAAGAACACGAGAGAGAGAAAATATTATTTGGGAATTCTGAGATTCCCAAAGAACATGAGAGAGAGAGAGAGAAAAAATTGTTTGGGAATTCAGAGATTCCCAAAGAACACGAGAGAGAGAAAACATTATTTGGGAATTCTGAGATTCCCAAAGAACATGAGAGAGAGAGAGAAAAAATTGTTTGGGAATTCAGAGATTCCCAATAAACATGGGAGAGAGAGAGAGAAGACATTATTTGGGAATTCAGAGATTATTAAAATAAAATAAAATGAAGTAAATAATAAAATAATAAAATAAAATAATAAAATGAAATAAAACAAAATCAAATAAAATTAAATGAAATTAAATATAATAAAATAAAATAAAATAAAATAAAATAAAATAAAATAAAATAAAATAAAATAAAATAAAATAA